TATATCTCCAAAGCCTAGCAGAAAGGGGTTACTAAGCAATACCTGTTGACTTTTGAAGGGACATTCAGATCTTCATCAGTAAAAAAAAAAATTATAAAGAAATTATTTAAGATAGAAAATCAGTTTTTTAATTTAATGTGTTGTTATTCCACATATATATGTGCATTTGTCTCTTTGTGGAAGAGAATTTTCAGTCATTCCTATATGGACTAAGAGAATGAAGGGTAGACAGATCTCTTTCATTAATTAACCTAATTTTAAGATATTTCTGGGCCTCAGAATCAGAATACTACAATGAATCTTGCATCTTGGTGGCTTTTCCAGCTATAAAACACTATGATTTCCGAAGTGGGTATCAAATCTCACATTGGACTCCAAGCCCCCAAGTTTGACTGCTGCCATCCTGTCCCTCCATACCTCCAAGGTAGACATAACTATGACCTGGGCTGCCTGAAGTTCCCTATGAAAGGCCATATGGGCCTTAGTTCACCAAAGGTAAAATTTACAACTCTGTGGCCTCTACTATGTATGGTAAATGACCCCAGATGGTGAGAACACCAACAAAGAGGGCAACTTGGATGACAAGGAGATTTATCTGGGGAAAAAGAATATGACTTTAGCACCAAGGCAGATGAATTTTGGATGATACCACTTGATAGTAATTAACCAAATAGGAGCAAGGTCATGTGTGGAAAGGAGGCAACCTATAAGACTGGGAAGCCTGACATATCATTATACTTTAACAGTATTTATAATGCTTTTAAAAATAAATTGGCTTCCCATGTTTAAAAAAATTCAAATAGAAACCCCCAGAGAGAACTCCAGATAGCCTAAATTCTCCAGATGGCCTGGTGAAGGTGTTGAAACCCTTCAGAACCTGGAGTGTAAAAAAGCTGACCTCTTTCTCAGAGGTACAGATGAAGTATTGTCCTGAACAAGAAAAGAAGAAGAAATGGAGCGAGCCTTGATGAGCAGCTTAAATACATGATGAGGAGGAAGGGAGGGGGATAAAAAAATATTTATGAGGAAGGTAATGATGATCATAGCTAACAATTTTTGAGGGCTTATCATAGGCAAAGCATATCTGAAGCAACAGCATGCATGAAGAAAGCACTATGGCTAACTCCTTTGCAGAGAAAAAGAGGCTGATATCAATAGAGGATCTAAGATTGACCAAGATGACTACCCAACTAGTAGTGGTAAAGTCACGTATCTAACTCTTGTGGTTTGAGTTCAGAGTTCATGCATTCAATATGATACTGACTTTAAAAATGTTCAGGTTTCATTGAAAATCCTTAAGATCAAGCCGGGCTCGGTGGCTCAGCCTGTAATCCCGCGCCTTTGGGAGGCTGAGGTGAGCAGATTGCCTGAGCCCGTGGGCTCGAGACCCGCCTGGGCAGCGAGACCTCATCTCTACAATAAATCAAAAAATCAGCCGGACGTGGTAGCGTACGCCTGTAGTTCCGGCTACTTGGAAGTCTGAGGCGGAAGGATCACTGGAGCCCAGCAGGTTGAGGCTGTGGTGGCCGGGAGCGGCCACTGCATTCCAGTCTGGGTGACAGAGTGAGACTCCAACTCAAAAAAGAAAAAAAAAAAAAGAAAATCCTTAAGATCAGCAATCACAAACATAAAATATAATAGTGCAGCTAAGAATGAACTATCAGAATTATATTAGACATGACTTTCAGATAAACACTTTTAAATTCTGGCTCCCCATCACAATTACCAAGAAACAACAAAAATACATGAATACTGGAGACTTTACACAGGGAGTATAATTTATTTGAAGTGCAACCATATTTTAGGTATTGAAAACTATATACATCCCAAGGTGATCCGTAGGTAGAATCAGGTTTGAAAATTCAGAGAAAGGATAGAAGCATGGAGGTGTGGTCACCCAGGAGCTAAACTTTGTTTCTAGAGCGTCTTAGTTGCATATGCTTAGGGATTGCAGGTTTCTAACCTTGGTGCTGTGAATAAAAAATTAATCTGGGTATTAGTCAAGTGATTATGATATATTCCTTCAAACAAAATTTCAGATACCAATTTGGCAATCTTGACAACATATGATATCATGGAAAGCCTGAAAATATAGAAACAATACAGACCGGTGATCAAATCTTGCCTCAGAAGAATCCTACTGGTAGTGTGACTTTGTGGAAGTTGTTCATTCAACAAAGTCAATTACTATCTATTGAAATGGGCCTTATTCTGTGCTGAGTACTGGGTATCTAAATAGATTTGGTCCTTAGTTTTATGGAACTCATAACTGGGTGGGTGAGATGGGTAATTCATAATGAAATAAGCATGTAAGTGGGCATTTTAGATAGATAAATAGATAGATGATAGATAGATAGATAATAGATTTATCCATCATATTTGGTAATAAATGCTGTGAAGAGAAATAGTGGTAGATTTTAAGATAGAAAAAAAGATGCCATACCTGAGAGTACCTTACTAAAATTTGGAATCAATTGACAACTCTCTGAGAAAAAATAATATTAAAGCTAATGCTAATTAAGAATGGAGCCACAGAAAATTGGCAGAGAAAGCATGATCCAGACAGAGAGTGCAACAGCCTGTGCAGAGGTCCCAAGAGAGCAGAGAGCTTAACATGATAGAAGGCAAGGCAGATGGTCAATCAGACTTGAGTCCAGATAAGAATGGAGGCATTGCTGGATGATGAGGTTGATACAATAATAAGAGACCAGACTCTGAAAGGGCCTATGCTCCATGCACAGGAGTTTGGATTTTTTCCTAAGTGCAATCATAGGTTGTTGAAAGGTTTTCAGTAGGCAATGGCTCAACTCTGTATTTCATGATGATACTGCTGGCTGTAGAAAAGATAACAGACTGAAAGAAGGGAGGAGTGTAAGTGAACTGTTAAGTTAAAAATTCAGGTGACAGAAGATGTAATTGAACTGGACTGGGGACTATGAAAATAAACAAAAACAGACATGTTTGTGTTGATTTTTGAAGGTAATACTGAAATAACTTGCTGATGGACTCTCTGGAAAGTAAGGGAGAATGAAAATTGACAGAAAGACTTCTAGGTCTAGTTTGGGCAATTAGTGGTATTTATTGCAATGAACAAGACCACAGGAAGAAAATACTTTGTGCAGTTGGATGGTACATGCTGATTAAAAGCTTACTTTGAGATATGTTAAATTTAAACTATTTGTGATATAATCAAATTGAGATATCAGTGAGGCAAATGAGTATCTATTTTTAAAGATCAGAAAAAAATATCTGGCTTAGGATGAAAATTAATTAACTTTTCTAAAAGTCACTTCATCTTTATAAATTTCAATTCTGTTTTCTAGAGTCTATTCCTGCCTTGGAAAATTGCTGTGAGATTTGGAGTGTGTGTTGCACAATACTGTGCATACTAAATAACAGGAGGTAGGGGTGTTGAGAATGATAACAGCATTTCTATTGTCAATTACTAAGTTAACAAAGGAAAAGTTGCCACTAACAGGGAAGACACTGGTTCTCTCCTCCAGAAAGAATCACATTAATCACAATTAGGAGAATATTTCTCCTCTCCTCCTATCTCTTCTTCTCTTATAGTCTCTATGAGAGATGCCTTATTTCACACTATTGTATACTAACATTTTTATTTAAAGTGTACATATTTCTGTCCGCTTCTTAATGCTATAGCAGGATTCATGTCCTTTATTTACTTCATGCACCTGGATAAGCAAATTTAGCCAAAGATAATCAATTTTACCACAGAGGTGACATGGGAGGAAAAAAATGTAGTGGAGGAAGACTTTGATAAATCTTATGACAATATAATGTAGCAAGCTGAACTGTCAGATATCCACCCCATTTGTAATAGCCAGAATGCACATGACATTTGTCAATAAAAAGGTATAACTTTCTTTGAATAACTATCTGTAAGGATTTTAAAATCATTTTATTAGTTTATGATGAAATTATTTTTTTAGCAAGTGTAAGATCTGCAAGGTGAACCGTCAAATCTCCTTTACTTAAATTCAAATGATCATAGACATAAACTACATTACCTAGATTACCCCGGCCAAGTATACACATTAAACTGGATATCTAAAGATTTATTCGAATCAGCTGCAGTGCAAAGGGAAGTGAGCAGGTGGAGACTGCAATTGAAGAGAGGTTTGGTTTTTGTTGTTGTTTTTCAATTCCCATTTATTTTTGGCTCTTGGGGCAATGTCATCTTTTCAACATGAAAAAAAGCAGCAAGTTCAACACAAAATAAAAATATGAAGTGTAGGAAAGGACAAAACCAAGGGTGGGTGTGGGGAAGGCAACAATAAAAGAGATGAGATTTGCAAAAAAAGGTGGAGGGTGTCTTGTCCTCTCTCCTCTGGGGAATGACTAACATTCAAGTGGCAGTGTTCACCTTTCCGCGTTAGGTCAATGATGTTATTCATTTTGGGGGGTAAGAAACTGGCAATGAGGAGGGCATTTCTGGAGGCTTAGGGACCAAGGGTGGTTCCCCTTAATCCCCTTCTCTCCAACCAAGGCAAAAGAGAAATTCTAACATGTGAGGGAAGGATCTTGCTTTCTTGAAAGAGTGATACAGACCCCTCCTCAGGACAGAGCTTGGAGGAAGACTGAAAATGGAGATAATACTTGGTAACATCTCCCTTGAAGCTGAGGAATGGAACATAAAAATATCTGGAAAATATAACTTGAATAGCCTGGATTTCCCTCTCCCGAACTGTCCTAGAATGGAAGATTCCATCTCATTCCTTGTAGTGACTTCTACCTGCTACCTTCTGCTTTCCACACCTTTGCTACTCTTGGGCTTAGGATGGTGGCCATTATCTGGGTTTTTGTCATTGGAGTTGTTCTAAATGAGATCTGGATGAGACCCAACTTCTTGGAGAATTATTTTTGAAATGGGAAAACATTAACTGGACAGGTGGGAGTAGGCACCAGAAGGAAATACAAGGTTACTGAGAATGGCAGAAATCCAGATTTCCCAAAGTGGAAAGAGAGAGGAGACATTCAACAACAAATATTTATTGAGCGCCTCTTATGTGGCCAGGCACTGTTCTAGACCCACCCCACCCCCCCAAGGAGAAAAAAAAGAGGCAGCAAACACAAATTCTGAGGGAGAGGAAAGGGGCAGCTGAGGAAGACGGCTATGGGAACTGAGAAGCCTGAGGTGATGGGGGCTCTGCCTTAGGCCTCCTCTTCGGCCTTCTCACCAAAATCTTCCTCTTATTCTGCGGTGGCATCCTGGTACTGCTGATACTCAGAGACGAGGTCGTTCATGTTGCTCTCAGCCTCAGTGAACTCCATCTCGTCCATGCCCTCACCTGTGTACCAGTGGAGGAAGGCCTTCTGGTGGAACATTGCACTGAACTGCTCGGAAATACGCTTGAAGAGCTCCTGGATGGCTGTGCTGTTGCCGATGGAGGTGACTGCCATCTTGAGGCCACGAGGCGGAATATCGCAGACAGCTGTCTTGACATTGTTGGGGATCCGTTCCACAAAGTAGCTGCTATTCTTGTTCTGCACGTTGAGCATCTGCTCATCTACCTCCTTCATAGACATCCGTCCGTGCAACACAGCAGCCACGGTGAGGTACCGGCCATGGCGGGGGTCACAGGCAGCCATCATGTTCTTGGCATCGAAGACCTGCTGGGTGAGTTCAGGTATTGTGAGAACCCAATACTGCTGGCTTCCACGGCTGGTGAGAGGGACAAAGACAGGCATGAAGAAGTGGAGACGTGGGCAGGACACCATGTTGACTGCCAGCTTGCAGAGGTCAGCATTGAGCTGGCCAGGGAAGCAGAGGCAGGTGGTGACACAGCTCATGGTGGCTGAGATGAGGTGGTTTAGATCCCCGTAGGTTGGTGTGGTCAGCTTGAGGGTGCGGAAGCAGAAGTCGTAGGGGGCCTCATTGTCAATGCAGTAGGTCTCATCAGTGTTCTCTACCAACTGATGGACAGAGAGCGTGGTGTTGTAGGACCCAACCACAGTGTCTGACACTTTGGGTGAGGACACCACACTGAAGGTGTTCATGATGTGATCAGGATACTCCTTGAATCTTGCTGATGAGGAGCATGCCCATTCCAGAGTCTGTGCCCCCACCCAGCGAGTGGGTCAGCTGGAAGCCCTGCAGGCAGTCACAGTTCTCGGCCTCTTTCCGTACCACATCCAAGACAGAATCAACCAGCCCAGCACCCTCTGCATAGTGGCCCTTTGCCCAGTTGTTGCCTGCCCCAGACTGACCAAAAACAAAATTTCCTGGTCTGAAGATTTGCCCAAAAGGAACAGAGTCCATGGTCCCAGGTTCTAGATTCACTAGTATAGCACGGGGAACATATTTGCCACCTGGGGCTTCATTGTAGTACATGGAGATACCGTTGAATTGCAGGTCGCTGTCCCTGTGGTAGGTACCGGTGGGGTCGATGCTATGTTCATCACTGATCACCTCCCAGAACTTTGCACCGATTTGGTTGCCACACTGACCAGCCTGGATATGCACGATTTCCCCCATGGTTAAAATTTACTTTAATTTTATGACTCGCCTCAAAGTATGTACAGGGCAAGAAAATACGTAATTTTTTTTCCTCTGCAGGTCGCAGACTGAAAGAAGCTGGAGCAGCAAGGTCCGAACGCAGTGGCAGGAAGGTTCTCTGAAGAGAGGTTTTAAAGAGAAGCCATTTGTGACAAGGAGAGAAGAGGAAAAGGAGAGGTAGTTGTTAAATAGGGCCATGGGTTTTTTTCATTGTTTTGTTTAGTAGTGTTTACAATGAGGTTTTAAGATCATAAGATTACTAGAGTTAAAAAAGGAAATATGATTATGCTGAATGGGAGACTTGGATTCAGAAAGCATGCCGAGGCTTTTGTTTTAGATAGAAACAGAGATGTGTTCTTCCTCCAGCCCCCCAATAAAGTACCAAAGCACTATTGCTAGTGATTGGATGTCATAAGGTGTCTGCTTGAGGTTCATCAGAGAAAAGGACATTCTGTGCCCAACAACTCCCAGAGATGACTAACTTCCCATCACTGGCAAGATTCACCTGAGGGAATTTATCCCCGAAGAGGATGCACTGGATCTGGGGCCTACATGGAGAGGTAGGACTCAGGTATCGCAAAGTCAGGAGTTCTTAGCCTGGTAAGAATCTGGCTTTAGCAGATCTATAAATTTTCTCATACTGTAGAAAATATATATGTTGTTATGGGTAGTTTTCTTTTTTATTATTTTAAAGATGTGGGGTAAAATTCAGAGTTAGGTATACAAACGTTGATTATTCAGGTACCTTTGTTGATGAGGTGTGCCTCTCCCTCCCCAGCAGGTTCCCTCAACTGCCAATTCCACCCTCCTTTCCCTGGAAGTTTCTCACTACTGCCAATTCCTTTCTTATAGTGTTAATATAATTGGTCAAAGTCCATTGATGAGTGAGAACATATGGCACTCTGTTTTTTGTTTTTGTGATAGATCATTGAGTATGATCGACTCAATTCATCCAAGTTGCTGTGAAGTCCATATGTTTGTCTTTCTTCATGGCTGCATAATATTCCATTGTGTATATGTGCCACATTTTTTATCGAGTCCAGCTTCAATGGGCAGCATAGTTGGTTCCATGATTTTGCTATTGTGAATAGAGCTGCAGCAAACATACACGTGCAAGGGTATATTTTGTATAATGATTTTGTAGGGGAAATTGCTTGGTCATATGCAAGGCCAATTTCTAGTTCTTTCAGAAATTGCCATACTGTTTTCCAAAGAGGTTGCACTAGTTTGCATTCCTATCAGCAGTGTAGAAGCATTCCTTTTTCTCTGTATCCTCGCCAGCATCTGTTGTTGATTGTTTTATTAATGATGGACATTCTTACTGGGGTTAGGTGGTATCTCAGTGTGGTTTTAATTTGTATTTCGCTGATGGTTACTGAAGCTGAGCACTTTTTCATGTGTGTTGACTGCCTGTATCTCTTCTTTTGAGAAGTGTCAATTCATGTCTTGTGCCCACTTTTTAATGGGGCCGTTTGTTTTTGACCTTTCAGCATGTTTGATTTCCTTGTAGATCTAGATGTTAAGCCTTTGTTAGATATACAGTTAGCAAGTAATTTTTCCCATTCTGTGGGCTGTCTTCCTGCTCTCTTGATGGTTTCTTCTACTTTCCAGAAGCTCATCAGTTTGATGAGGTCCCACTTGTCTATCTTATTTCTTATGATATGGGCAGTTAGGGTTCTGATCAGGAATTGGTTGCCAGTTCCAATTTCCATAAGGGTGTCTATCTCCTGCATTTTCTAAGATTCTTATAGTGTGAGGTTTTACGTTTAGGTCTTTGATCCATTTAGAATTAATTTTTGTGTATGGTGATAGGTAGGGGTCCTGTTTCAATCTTCTGCATGTGATCAGCCAGTTTTCCCAGCACCATTTACTGAATAGGTTCTCCTCTCCCCAGTGGTTGTTGTTGGAGGCTTTGTCAAAGATGAGTTGACTGAGAACTTGAGGTTTGCTTCTGGAATCTCTATCCTGTTCCATTGTTTCTATATGCCTGTTCTGGTACCAATACCAGGCTGTTTTGATTACTGTAGCCTTATAGTAAGCTTTGAAGTCTGGAAGTGTGATATGCCTCTTGTTTTGTTTCTTTTACTAAAAATAGTTTTGGCTATTTGTGGTCATTTATGTTTCCATATGGATTTCTGTATTGTCATTTCCTGGTCCGAGAAGAATGATGTTGGTAGCTTAATGGATATTGCGTTGAATCTGTAGATTGCCTTTGGTAGGATGGACTTCTTAACAATGTTGATTCTTTCTATCTATGAACATGGAATATTTTTCCATTTGTTTGTGCCTTCTTGTATTTCTTTCAGCAGTGTTTTGTAGTTCTCATTGTAAAGTTCTTTCACTTCTCTGGTTAGGAAGATGCCGAGGTATTTCATTTTTTTGTGTGTGGCTATTGTGAATGGGATTGTGCTTTTTATTTGTGTCTCTGCCTGCTTGTTGTTGGTGTATAAGAATGCAAATGCCTTATGAACATTTATTCTGTACACTGAGACTTTTCCAAAATCTTTTATCAGTGCAAGCAGGTTTTTAACAGATTATCTTGGATTTTCAAGGTGTAGGATCATTTCATCAGCAAAGAGAGATAACTTGCATTGTGGACAGTTTTCTAAGGAGAGGATCCCTTGCTTCCATCAGATTCTCAAAGGGTTCTATCACCAGAAAATGCTAAACATACTGCTCAAAAGTGTCATTCAACCCTACAATCTGTGATTTCACTTGATGCTACAACTCTTTCTGGACAAGCAAACAGTGTGGCTGAATGATGGACATGAATCTAAGAACTGACAAAACAAGGAGAAAATGAAAATATGAGGATATGGTAAAGAGTAATAAGAGTCTTAAGTCAAAATAGATGGCCAGCATAATAATATAAATAAGCTTTTTATTGCAGCATAAAACATCATGATGTATTTACAAATAAACGTTCTGGCAGTGACAACTTGTTATTAAAGAATAAGAACACAAGGATCTGGAAGCCCTAGAGGACTTGGGAAAGGACCCCCTTTATAGGTTTTCTGTGTCTTATGATGCAAAGATTTGAGTGGAAGGCAGTTCCCTTTGGGCCTAATGATTTGTTGAGGGATCTGTTCCAAAATACATTCTTTCTGAAAGCACTTGTTCAAGATAAATACATTCATTTCATTGGTAAATTCCCTTTGTGCAGGATTTTATTTTTAGCAGACACTCTATGTCCATAGTTTACCTGGAGACCTTGTTGCCATTCAGCTTTTTGAATCCCCATTTCCAGAAATCATAATCCAGTATCTATGGATTGGGGAAATGGAAATGCATTTTTTAGGCAACACTTCAATTGATTCTGATGCAAGCTTTCACTAAGGAAAACAGGAAAAGCATGTCACCCTTTAGGCACTTCTGTAACCAAAACAGGAATCTACTTAACTGGTTTAGATGAAAATGTTAGTGATCAAATGACTTTATACATTAGTAGTCAGTTGGATATTAGCATATAAGCAGAATGTCAATGCTTACGGCAGAAAAATAATGTATTATGATGCAATTTCAAGTTTCAGTATAAAATCCGCAGGAAAGAATTATAAAGATATTAACCTTCTCTGAAAAATGTTATCCTTATTCTAGAGTGACCACCAGTTCTACCCACGTTTAAAATCTTCCTAATGTACACAACAGAGTTCTACTTTCAAATTTAGTACAATCAATTCATAGATGAATAAATGTGAAATTATTCACCATGATATGTATGTTGAGTTAGTGTGACTTCCT